CATATTTCACACTTATAAATTGCCAAGGTTTGCTTACAATCCATTCAACATGAATGCAACAAGCCTAAATGTGTGAAATGCATGCAATAATTCAACAGATAATGTGAATGGACCCTCAATGTTTGAGAATTCAATGGAAGGAGAGTTTTTACTAATTCTGAATTTAAAAAAGATTTTAAAAGCATAAGAAGCACTAAAAATATGTGAGTAGGGATGAATTTTCAGAAGACCAACTCAAAATAGCTTCCTGTTTTCATTATCAAAGTTACCATTGCATAGGGTTCTTTAGTAGAAGGACTTTGATGGAGGAGATGACAATTGAAGATAGGCAGAAAGACACAGCTGTGTTTCTGCAACACAGATTGGAGTGTATCTTTTGACCTTGCATCCTGAGTTGAAAGGTGATTCAGAGAAGACAGAGAGGTAAAAAAAAACCCTCACAATTTAAAGATAAAAGAGAATAATCAGCTCTTGGCAGGCATGGTAAACAATGTAAGCACACACATTTCATTTATACAGAGAATAAACACAAATTTAGTAAGACCAAACCTAGAACAGTGCCTCAAACATTGAGATTGATAATGCTCATTCTTTTTAAGAAAAGTAAAATTCACATGCATAGCCTAAATAATAGACATATTTCATGTAATCTGATAGCTAAATATTCTAAATCATATCAGGAGTCTGATAAAAATTACCCTTAAAAAATAATTTCAGAAACAGCATTATCCTGATCAGAACTGCTTGTGGTTTTAAAGAAGCCTGTTTTTTTTATGCAATTGCCATTTTCAGTGTATGAAGTATTCCGTATCACATGCAACATGGAACTTCATAGCAATCCAGTGACTGTGAGTTCAACGGCAGAATTCAAGACTGTATAAAGATTTAGTAAATCAATATTATATACTCTTTCACCAAAAGTTTGTAGACACCTGACCATGATATCTTTGTATGTTTTTTGGATATCTCTCATTCCAAAACCATGGACATTATTATAGAGTTTCAAACCCCCCTTTTTTGCATAACACCCTCCTCTATGCCAGGAAGGCTTTTCAAAGGATCTTGAAATGTTTTTGTGGGAACTTGTGTCCATTCAGCCAAAAGAGCATTTCTAAGGTCAAGTACTGATGTTGGAGGAAAATACCTAGTTCACAATTGGCATTTCAATTTATGCCAAAGCTTTTCATTTGGACTGAGGTCAGGGATCTGAGCAGGCCACCTGAATTCCTCCACTCTAAACTCATCAAACCATGTCATTGTGAAGGTAGAAAAGATGGATGCCACATCACCTCCTCAGTGTATTGGATTTGGTGTGAACTTCTGCCCCAGCCATGCTCCCTGATGTGTTTTGCCTCACCTACTGTGACCAAGCCCTGGTGGGTGGGGGAAACACTGTGGAGGTCAATGTTTGGATGCTGGCTCCCATCATTTGCATCCTGGCAGGGTTTTTTCTCCAGCTTTGAGCGACACGTCAAGCTTAATCCGTCCTGTCATTGTAAAGCTGACTTTGTATACAGAAGCACAGTCATGCTGGACCAGAACAACCTTCTACAAACAGTTGCCACAAGGTTGGAAGCAAAAAAAAAAAAAAAAAAAAGAGAGAAAATACACCAGCCTACTGCAACACCTTCAGACACCAATTTAACATAAACATTTTTTGAGCTCTGAGGAAGAAGGCTTGTCCATCGCAATGTATTGGAGGACTTGCACACACTGTATCCTGTTGCAGGTGCCAGAGAGGTCTTTTAATCAAAAATACAGTCTCTTGAGATGGGCAAGACCTCAAGTTTGGGTTAGATGATATGCCTGTGGTTGTATTCCTTTTATCAGTATTTTAATATTTGTTTTATATTAAATTGGTGTCTGAAGGTGTTGCACAAAGCTGGTGTGTTCTCTCTTTTTTGTGATTTTAGTATTAAAGGTTTCCCTAGTTTTGTGAGAACTTGAAGGATGTGAAAGATTTCTGGACATTATAACAATTGGAGAAAAGTTTTAGAAAAAGGATTTTAGCCTAGGATCTCTAATATATCTCCTCTAACCCTTGAGAACTGACAGTGTATCTGTTTCTGTACAAGGTTGGTGTCACATACCTGGCTGTAGAACCTGACTCGATGAGGCCTCTCTTACAGCTCTGACTCAGGAGCCAATGATAGAAATGATAGAGAGATATTGGACATGAGAACACAGTGAGATATGAGCACATGTAGTGTGTCCAGCAGATTGCACAGGTAGGTAGCTGGTGCTTTGCCAAGGATGAGCAGGATGATAGAGACAGCTAACAGGGAGCAGATACAGTAGACCTAGAACTTGTAGACATCAGGACGCTTGGCTGGCTGATAACAGGTGAAGAGCCAGCTGGCAGAGACCAAACACTAGTCACACAGATGCGGGTGGTAACAGACAGTCAGATCAGGTAAAAGTGTCTGGCTGAAGAATAGTCAGGACACAGGCCGAGGTCAGCAGTGGTGGAGCAGGTCAGACAAGGAAAAGGCAACAGTACATTCCAGAGACAAGCCGAGGTCAGGGAAGGTATCCTTCACGCATGGTCAGGGGTAAGCTGGGTAAGCTCTGAGGAAGAGGCTAAGCCCTCGAAACGCATTAGCCTGTTGGAAGTCCAGGGTTCCAATTGTGGATTTATATGCAGTGTAGATTGGACACCACAGTTCAGTGTGATGTGCTTTTTACCTTTATGTCAATTGTGAGTACGATACCTATTTTTGAATCCTTTCAATAAATATTTTTTATGATAATGCACTAGGCCGGTGTGCCATCTGTATGTTTTCTTTGTAACCAGTGCTATTGGACTACCCTGGTTCATTGAGGGCAGAAAAAAGTGCATTTTCCAGGACATCTGAGATGTTACCATATCCCTAGCTGAGTCCATCCCCAAGCGCAGTAGTATAAAGTATGCTGTGTTTTTCGTAAGCTGGGTCAGTAACAGCAAGTCAAGCACATGAACTGGTAACAGGATAAATGAAAACCCTGTAGATCAGACAGCAAAGAGCCAGTGCAACAGTCCTATTTAAATAGTCCCTTTGGCACCAGTATTAGTGACAGCCAAGTGTATATTAGTATTAGTGTCATGCCCGAACATACGTGTGCACATGCCTGCACACATCTACACAGATACTTGCCTGCCTGTGCCTGCGCACACACACACCTCAGAACATTATCTATACTATGGGCAAGCCTTTCCTGACAATTGGAAGTGTCTTTTTCTGGGAAAACCTGAACTCACTAATTTGAATAAGCATCCACATTTTGGTTATATATAGTTTATATTTTAGATATCTAAAACATAGCTTCTCTTAAAATAAATGTGATTATGTTACCATTTTTATCTTCTCTGTTGATGTTTATTTAATGGCATTGATTTAAATATTGAAAAAAAACTGATTCTCTCCATTAACTCGTATATCCATCATTCCCATCTCATTAAGCACTTTATATTTTCATTGTTTATGTGTGAAATTACTGAGGAATTATAATTATTTTTCTGAATACAACAGGCCACATGTCTGGTTGGGGGCTATGTTAACATTGCTGGCAATAAATGGACTACATAAGATGTTTTCTCAGAAATAAAACCTAGAATTAGTTGATTTAATTTTAAAGCTTCAAAATTAAACTATGCCAATTAGTTCATTGTAAATGGGCCTTTGTTGTTTGCGGGGGGGGGGGGGGGGATCAAGAATCTGGGACCAGACGGTGTAGGCTGTAAGTGAGATGTATTTACAATGAGGGCAAATTCACTTTACTGCTGCATCAGCTCTCCATTGCCATCTGTGTTAGGGGGGCAGTGTTGTGCACAATTCAGAACATTAGACTGCTCCCTTTTTCTGTTTTGTTTCATACCAGCTTTATTTGAAGTGTACAAAACGTACACTTCATTCACTACAATGTCCAGCAGCAGGATGCCCTGCGCTGCCTGACATTGCAGTGCTATTCGGGCCAATGCACTGCGATAAAATGCAGCATGCAGGGAGCGGATGGGAAGGGGGAACCAAAACTGGGAACAAAGGAAAGCAGGTACAGCAGGGTACAGGACAAGAAGAAGAGTGAGAGGCACTAGTAGGGGTAGATTCAAAAGTGCCATTAAACCTTCCCTTTTTTTATTAAAATAACAAACATATTATACTTACCTGCTCTGTGCAATGGTTTTGCACAGAGCAGCCCCAATCCTCCTCTTTTGCGGTCCCCCAGGCCCCTCCCCTTCTGCAGATGCCCTCTTGGAAAGCCACTTTCCATGGGGGCACTTGTGCAGGCTCGCTTCCTTGCATTCCATCTATTTACACAGACCGGGAGGCTTTTCCCCACCCCCTCCATATCATCTGATTGACAGCCAATGGCACCCGCTGCCAGCCATCGGCCCAATGAGGAAGGAGACCGCGGAGAGAACCACTGCTCGTGTGCACAGTTAGATCACATCTGGCTCAGGTAAGAATATGCAGGGGGCTAGGAGCAGGGGCGGACTGACAACTCATGGGGCCCCCAGGGAATAGGGGATCATGGGGCCCCTGAGTCCTTGCCCAAACTTAAAGCCTATGAAAAAGGTACCAGGGGCATCTCATGGGGCCCCCTACTGACCACGGGCCCCCGGACAGTGCCCGAGTTTCCAAATGGTCAGTCTGCCCCTGGCTAGGAGTATCCTTCAGCACAGAAGGTTTTAAACCATAATGCATAGAATACATTAAGGGAAGAAAACATTAAGGTTTTAGAACCACTTTAAATACCCTCTCAGCAGCCAACATCAGGTGGAAACTGATTACTACGATCTTTTAGCTGCTGGGAGACACCTTCTGGTGGACACCAGAGCTACAACCTTCCGCTCTGGGAAGCACAGTGCTACCAGCAGGTGATCCAGGTCCTGACACTGTGAGAGGTTTAGTTTCCAAAAAGAATAGATAAGTGGTGGCCCAGATTCATGTCTGTATAGAACTGGAAAATACTCATGTCTATCTTCTCTATCACAAGCAAATTTGTGCTTGAACATACAGTACTTCTTTGCATATCATGTGATTAGTAGAAATGATGATTAGGACTTTAGATTTTATATAAATAAAAAAATAACAAAAAAAATATATCTTTATATCCCAAACTGCACTGATTCATTAAGTGAAACTATCAAAAATACTTTGGTTAGATTTTGGCAGCCTCAATGTAGCAAGCACACCCTTTAGTTTGGGTAGGCGAAATGAAATATTAATTAAAAAAGAAATATCCAATAAACTGTTGCTCTGAGAGTCTAGTTGTGGGCTGAAGTTAAGTTCTGGCTGAAGCAAAGAATTAGAGTTCATATCTGGTGGATCCACACCTATGGCAAAGATCCCTTGGCCTAAACCTAAGATATTAGTTGTATGTCTGGCCGTTATATCATTGTAGAGCAACAGTTTGAACAAATATAGCTCTCCTCTACTTTTTAATGACTAAGGACATGGGCTAGACAGGGCATTTGGAGGGACATTTTTAACTATAGCTCCACTTTAACCACTTGAGCTCAAGAAGGTTTTACCCCCTTCATGACCAGAGCATTTTTCGTCATTCAGCACTGCGCTACTTTAACTAGCAGTTCCTTGGTCATTCAATATTGTACCCAAATTAAATTTCTATATTTTTTACCCACACAAATAGAGCTTTCTTTTGGTTATTTTTGATCACAACTGAATTTTTTATTTTTTAATATCCAATAAAATTAAATTGAGTGAAAGTTATAGTGTGTGAAAGTTATAGGCCCTAAAATGCCAAAACAGCACAAATCCCCCAGCCCAAATGACCACTTTTTGAAAAATAGGCAGCCCAAGGTATTTTAGTAAGAGGCATGGTGAGTTTTTGAAGTTGTAATTTTTGTCACAATTTTTTGGAAAAAAAGAATTAAAATAAAATTGTTTTCTTTTCACAATACTTTTTTACATACTGTCACCAGTACAGTACAGCATCATCCTATGAATGGTGTGGCGGTGGTCAGGGATACTGAGTGGTGACAGTATGGCAAAAAATACATTTTATGAAAAAATTTTAAAAAATTGATAATTTTTATTAAACTTTTAAAGCATTTTTCAAACTTGTGTTTTCTTTTATTATAATTATTTTTTACATAGTGTCATCAGAGTATGTGCATGTGGGGAGGGGTGATAAAGGATTCTTCTTCTTTTTTTTTACACTATGATTGCTGTTACAGTGATGAACACTGGTGATGTAACAGCAATCGTTTGAACTATCATTAATGGATTTAATTTATATCAGCTCTAGTGATGCTGTGATTGGCCAACAGCTATCACATGGTAAAGAGCGCTGTGATCAGCCCAGATACCATGGGATAGCTGTGGACTAAATTACAGCATTACTATAGGAAGCACAGCTTTATGAATTACATTTTTTCATAACAATTTTTTTGACATTGTGAGCATGTAATTGCATAACGATCATGTGATACCCTGGCCGTAATCCGCTGTGTCCGGTGAACACACTTCTGCGCATGTGATCAGCAATGTATATTTATGTTGCTGAGCCTGATTTTGATGATCGTCCACAGTAAAACTACTGTGGGTGGGTGTAATGTGGTTAAGCTGTACATTTCTAAACTTCTTTGTATACAATTCAGTTTGAAAGCTCTTGTTTTCTAACTTTTAAATACACATGCTTAATCAGCTGTAAACAAGTTTTGTTTTCTAGACAACTGATTTTATATACCTTGAAACATCAAATTCAATAATAAAAGATCTCCATATCCCAAGTAAAAAATACCCCACATTTAAATACAAAGGGAGAGAAATCAATAGGTATATTATCCATAGCAGCCAATCAGATAAAAACTTCACATTGTGTAACCAAGATGGAATTTGATTGGCTTCTGTGGTATTTTATTTGCTGTTTTTTTTTTTCAATCTAAATGTAAAGCTGAACTTACTTTTTTCAGCTCACATTTCCATCCCACATCTTGCAATATAGAACCTAAAAACGTAAATATATACATATTCCAGTGTATTGCTGATGGACAGATATGCACAGGGAATGAGTGTTGGAACTCCTGCCAGATACCTGCTGCTAGCCGTGATTAGGTCTACCTCAAAACCAACTGCAGTAAATGAAACATTAACATTTATACGCGATAATGGACAGCTGCCTCTTTTGCAGATACAGCTAGGTGACAATGTTCCGGTGTCTCTCAAACTGAATTAACCTGCTGTCTTCATCTCTCTGTATGTCTGACACATTCATTTCCCTGCTGGTACAACAGTGCAATCTGGCTGCATGCAGGAGAAACTGTAGTCAGGTACTGCATCCCCATACAAACTTGCTTTTTGTCTTTTGTGGGTGGAAGACTGTATCTTGCTTTGGCATGTAGTATATCAATTATCCTGCATTTCACAGGTTAAGAAGACATACTGGGGGTTATTTACTAAAACGAAAGAGTGCAAAATCTGGTGCAGATCTGCATAGAAACCAATCAGCTTTCAGGTTTTATTGCCAAAGCTTAACTGAACAAGTTGAAGTTGGAAGCTGGTTGGCTACCATACAAATGCAGAGCAGTGAGTTAACCCTTTGAGGACCAAGGGACGTATTTGTCCCATGTTTTTTAATTGCCTGTATCATCTGATTAAGAACTTAAAATACTTTTTTTTTTTTTTGGTTTGAGTCAAAATATTAGTTCTTATCAACAAATGGATCTAGCTTTTTGCCAATTATTTCATGAAATGGCTTAGTCGCAGCAACTGCAGTGTACAAACTTTAAAAACAAAAAATTGATTCTTTTGGCGTTCCGTAATCTTATGGTCCTCAAAGGGTTAAATGTTGACTTCTACAGGTCTTGAGCTGAGCACCATGTCCAGCGTTGGTAAGGTGTGATGATGTCATGCATTACTGCACACGCAAAACCCTGAGAAACCTTTATTACTACCCTGGATTTAAATGTAAGTATATTTATATATATACTATATTGCCAAAAATATTGGGACACACCCTTCCAAATCATTGGATTCAGGAGTTCCAATCACCTCCATGGCCACAGGTATATAAAATCAAGCCCCTAGGCATGCAGACTGCTTCTACAAACATTTATGAAAGAATGGGTCGCTCTCAGGAGCTCAGTGACCCCAAGCGTGGTCCCGTGATAGGTTGCCACCTGTGCAATAAGTCCATCCATGACAATTCCTGGCTACTAAATATTCCACACTCAACTGTTAGTGAGATTATAACAAAGTGGAAGCAACTGGGAACAACAACTCAGCCCATGAAGTGGTAGGCCACGCAAAATGACAGAGCGGGGTCAGCACTCTCACAGTCACACTATAAGTTGCTGATTACTGCCATTACTAGTATATCATCTATAGCTGGGTAAATTCCAGTATATAAGTGGTCTCCAAACTGTGCCCTGGGGGCCGAATGCGGCCCTTTGCTGGCCTTTATCTTTGGGGCACTGTTCTTACTCAAAAGACACAATATTCCTCCCACTAACAGCAACAATGGGGCACCATTCCTCCCACTGACACCAATGATTGGGCACCATTCCTCCCACTGACACCAATCATTGGGCACTATTCCTCCCACTGTCACCAATCATTGGGCACCATTCCTCCCACTGACAATGATTGGACACTATTCCTCTCACTGACACCGATTGGGCACTATTCCTCCCATTGACACCAACAATGTGGCATTATTCCTGACATTGACACCAACAATGTGGCACTATTCCTCCCATTGACACCAACAATTGAGCAATATTCTTCCCACCATTAATTATTTGGTCCCATTCCTATCACTGACACCAATGATTGGGCACTATTCCTCCCACTTACGAACGATTGGGCACTATTCCTCCCACTGACATCAATGATGGGACACTGTTCCTTCCACGGAAACCAATTATGGGGCACTATTCCTTCCACGGACACCAATTTTTGGCCCCCATAAGGTTTGATGAACAGTAAACCAGCCCTTTGTTTAGAAAATTTGGAGGCCCCTGCAGTATATATACACCATTGTCTGTAGACGCTATAACTTTCATAAACCAATTAATATACACTTATTAAATTTTTTTGTTGTTTTTTTTTACCAAAGACATCTAACAAAATACATTTTGGCCTACATTTATGATAAACTTTTATTATTGGATGTTTTAGAAAGTAAAAAAACTGTTTTTTTTTTTCTTTTATATAAAAAAAAATATAAAAACTTTGTGGACATCAAATACCAAAAGAAAGCTCTATTTGTGTGAAAAAATTATATACATTTCATTTGGATACAGAGTTGCATGACCATTTATGCCCGCAGCTCCATAGAAGAGAATGAAGGCTCTTAACGGTTCCACTTGAAAAATAGACAGGAACATCCATGTGAAAGGGGCCAGAAGTGGACAAGCCTAGTTTAAATGTATACTTTTCTTTCTTGTTTTCTACAATATGGCAGTTGTCACACATACTGAAGATTAAAATGTTCTTCTGTACTTTGATATGAAAGATACAAGGTGTCAACTGCTGCATATAGAAGAGCTCGATGTATCCAGTTAATGAATAGAAGATGGATGTGTATTTATATATAGACTCCTAATGCATTATTTAGTGGTATATTTTAAAGCATCTTGCTACATCAAAACCTGTTTTTCCTTTCAACCATGAAAAGTGAATGTTTTTGTTTTGACACATCTTTAAAGTCTTCATTGCTGAAAATGTACAACTGATTTTTATTTTAGTAATTAACTGGTTACTCTATATTGTTAATTTAATTGACTTAAATCAAAAACATGCATCTTACCTAGTAACGTTTCTGTCTTTGAAATAACAGTAAAGTAATAGCAAAAGCCTAACCCTAAGACTAAAAATGTAAAATATTGCTGTAAAGGAATGACAGGTAGTGTTTTCTACAATGTGCCTTTTGGCTCTAGGGTACCTAAGGGTTTGACTCCTAAGAGCTGGCGCAAGGGGTTTTAGTCCACTGTCTGTTAAAGCCAGATATTACACCATTGCCTCACAATAAACAGTAGATTTGCCCAGCCTGCTTTATGCATTCTTCGTGGGCCATTAGGCTACCTATCAGGTTTAGGCAGCCTATTAGCCATCTAAAGAAGTGCATACAGTAGGTTGGAAATGCTGCTGCTAATTGAGAGGCAATGGCTGATACTAGCGGAATCTCCAGGTAAGAAACTTAACAGTTTCTCAAAAACAAAAAAATCCCAACATGTCCAATGTTTTGCAGGCAGCTGGGTCTTGAAGAAATCTTGAGTTATAATATTACGTCATGAGGTATTTTAGTCATGAAAACATTCTTTAATGTTTCAGCTGTCAGTGGGGTTCCCCGCTGTTAGCTGAATGCTAAAAGAATATCCGGTATTGCCCAGCAATAAAATGAATAACAAAAAAAAATGCATGGGCCCCCCCCCCCCCATCCATACCATGCCTTTTGGGTCTAATATGGATTTTGAGGGGAACCACCCTCACCAAAATTAAAAAATGTGGGGGTCCCCTCCAAAATCTATACCAGACCCTTATCTGAACATGCAGCCCAGCAGGTCAGGTAAAGGAGAGGGATGAGCCATACCTGGCCACATGCCCTCAACATGAGGGGGTGCTTTGGGGCAGTGGGGGATCCCCCCAAAGCATCTTGTCCCTATTTTGATGGGGCAAGGGCCTCTTCCCCACAACCGTGGCCGCTGGTTGTGGGGGTCTGCGGGTGGGGGGCTTATTGGAATCTTGGAGCCCCCTTTAACAAGGGGGCTGTGATCCCACACCCCCATGTGAATGAGTATGGGGTACATGGTACCTCTACTCATTCACAAACAAAAAAAAAAAGTGTACAGTAAAAAATGACAGTAGACAATTTTTGACAAGTCCTTTATTAAAAACAAAAATAAAAAGTCCCCCGAAGTAGAATCAACATCACATTGCCCGCTGCCACGGCAATCCCAAAAAAGAAAACAAATCACCCCGCTCTCAGTGTTGGCTCCCGCCATCTGACAGCTGCGCTGGGATTACAGTTTTTACTGTCATGATGTCACAAGGGGGTGGGGTTACCTCCATCCCTTGTGATGTCATCATGCACTGTGATTGGCCAAAACATTGCACCTGTGGTCTGGTGCTTTGCTTTGGCCAATCACAATGCACTCTCAGGGTGCAGTGCATTGTGGGATGCGGCACACCAAGAGCCCACCGAACGGCCAATTTATGTTTGACTCTAACATCAAGCCCAATAATATTTGTGGCACAGATTCAACAAGGTGTTGGAAACATTCCTCAGAGATTATATATATCAGTCAACAAAGCTTTAACCAGAATACAATCCGCTTCTGTGTCTAATATTTCTGTGTCATTTTAGTCTCTGTCATGTTACTACACTGTAACCATGGATTTCAAGAGGTGGGATCATAGACTCACTCATGGCTGCTTTATCCCTGAAGCAGGATGGAGGGCATGTCAGCAGGCTGGGGTGCAGGTGGAAACAATCACACATGGGCTGCTTTGCCACTCAAATTGGGCAGGGAACATGTAAAGTTCTTCAAGGCTGGACAGTGGATGGGGGTGCTTGGATTTTTAGCAACAGTACAAGACTACAGACATGCTGTTGGTCAGCACAGGATCCTGTAACTCCCAAGGAGGGACACAAACTGACCATGCTAGTGTCATAGAGTGGTCATAAATAAACCAGATGGAGTTCATTATGAGGGGGACTAGCAGCTACATCAGGTATTTACTGCACATTGTTGCTAATACCTAAATAAACAGAAATAATATGTGCAGGCTGAGGGTCAAAGAAAATTACACCCCTATATGAGTAACTAATTATTCATGTTCCTGTTATTAAATGTCACTAAATATCAGATGCCTTCCTTTATTTTCTCCGTTTAACTTATTTATACAGATTTTGATTAATAATTTAATTCTATTACATTGTACAATGCTTTATCTGGTACCGGTATTCACTATCTTCACCATTGTTGCCTATTGCCTGTATTTCTGAAAAGTTCTTTTTGATGTGATGCTATATGTGATACTATCAATAAAAAAGGGTTGTTTACTTAAAGAAAATGAGCCCAAGTTTTAGAAATCAGGTCAACATAGTCTTTAGGAAAAATGTATGCAGTGAAGCATGACACCAGACAGACTGAAAATTCTTATTGACCACAAAGCCTCAAGTGGAAGAGGACAGTCTCTAACATTGGGGCATGTATGTAGTGGATCAAGGACAGTAAAAAATCAACATCACTGATATACTCTGCCAATCCCTTAACTAATATAAATATACTGTATAAATGTATATATCCAATGAGAGTGTCAAACTAAAGTACAAAAGTCCAAATTAATGATAAAATTGAAACATAGTTGAATAAAATGCATTTTGGGGACAGACACACTACCCTTCCCTCAGGGCTGTGATTATTATTATACAGGATTTATATATCACCAACAGTTTGTGCAGCGCTTTACAAAATGAAGGCAGACATTACAGTTACAATACAATTTGGTACAAGAGGAAACAGAGGGCCTGGCTCATTAGAGCTTACAATCTAGGAGGAAGTGTTGGGTGATACAAAGGTAATAGTTGTGTGGGAGGGTGAGCTGATGGAGGAAATAAAAGGTAGTTTACTAGTTGGAAGCAGGATAGGCTTCTTTAAATAGAAAGGTTTTCAGGGATCGTCTAAAAGGTGGATAGATTAGGAGATAGCTAGACAGATTGGGGTAGGGAGTTCCATAAGATGGGAGAAGCTCAGGAGAAGTCCTGGGGGTGAGCATGGGAGGAGGTAACACGGGAACTAGAGAGCAGACAGTCTTGGGAGGATGGAAGAGAGCGGTTTGGTTGATATTCTGAGACCAAGTTGGTGATGTAGCTGGGGGCAGAGTTGTGGATGGCTTTTTAAGTAGTTAGTATTTTGAATTGTATTCGTTGGGAGAGTGGAAGCCAGTGGAGGGATTGGTAGCAGACAGAATGATTGGTAAGGTGGATGAGCCTGGCAGCAGCATTTATGATGGACTGGAGGGAGGATAGCCTATGTAAAGGTGAGCCAATGAGGAGGGAGTTGCAGTAGTAGAGGTGAGAGATAACCAGGGAGTGAATTAGGAGCTTTGTGGTATCATTGGTTAAAAAGGGGCATATTCAGGAGATGTTGTGGAGGTTGAGGCGGCATGATTTGGACAGGGATTGGATGTGGGCCTGAAAGGATAGTTCAGAATCTAGGGTTACCCCTAGCACCCTGGCATACAGGAATGGGTTGATAGTGGTGATATTGATCCTGACCAAGAAATCAGGGGAAGAGGCATGTGGGGGAGGATATACTGCTTGGAACAGTTTCAGGAGGGCAGGTTACACCAGTGGTATGAAATGCAGCAAAGTCTTTTTCTGCTATGAATACACTTTATCATTAAATTACTTTGGACTCTTG